GTCTAAATGAGTTAAGTATTTATAGAAATTCTGCTGCCTTTTTATGCAAAATGGTTTATTATTTCTATGTTCCTTTGTGCTTTCCTTAAATAGTTCAGTATAAGCCTTGAATCCCTATAAATCTACCTGAATAAAAGGCAAGAGAAAGTGGATGAATGTATATTAATTCATCCACATTAAAATGCATTCCGAGAAGCAGATTCTTTTCATTACTGAGTTATGTTTACATCATACACTATATAAACAGAAGTATTGGGACAGCTGGCCATTATACGTACAGGAACATCTGACATCCCATTCGAAATCCATAGACCTCAATGTGGAGTTGGTCCCCCATTTGCAGTTATAGCAGCTGCCACTTTTCTGGAAAGGCTGTCCACAAGATTTGAGTATGTCTGTAGGAATTTTGCCTATTCATCCTAATGAGATTGTGAGATCAGGCATTGATGTTGGACATGAAGGCCTGGTTCGCAATCTCCATTCTAGTTCATCCCAAAGGTGTTCGATGGGGTTGAGGTCAGGGCTTTGTGGGCCAGTCAAGTTTTTCCACACCAAAAACTCCAACCATGTCTTTATGGACCTTGCTTTGTGCACTGGAACACAGTCATGCTGGGACAGAATAGGGCCTTCCTCAAACTGTTCCTACTAAATTGGAAGCATAGAATTGTGCAAAATGTATTGGTTTCCTCAAGCATTAAGAGTTCCCTTCACAGGAACTAAGGAGTCAAGTCCAACTCCTGAAAAACAGCCCCATACCATTATCCCTCCTTCACCAAACTTTACAGTTGGCACAATGCAGTCAGGTAGGTAACCTTCTCCTGGCATCTGCCAAACTCAGACTCATCCTTCACACTGCCAGAATGTAAAGTGTGACTTGTCACTCCACAGAACATGTTTCCGGCCATGGAAGCCCATTCCATGAAGCACACAGTTTTTGTGTTGGGGTTAAGAGGAAGTTTGGAACTCTTCAGTTAAGTCGTCAAAGTGCTGGCGACTTATATGCACCGTGCGCCTCAGCACTTGACAACCCCGCTCTCTTACATTACGTGGTCTGACACTCTGTGGCTGAGTTTCTGTTGTTCCTAAATGCTTCCACTTTGCAATAATACCACTTACAGCTGACCGTGGAATATCTAGCTGGGAAGAAGTTTCACGAATTGACTTATTGCAAAGGTGACATCCTATGACAGTATCACGCTTGAATTCACTGAACTCTTCAGAATGACCCAATCTTTCGCAAATATTTGTAACCCTGACCGCATGGCTAGGTGCTTGATTTTCACCTGTGGCAATGGGTCTGAATGAAACGAAACACCTGAATTCACTGATTAAGAGGTGTGTCCCAATACTTTTGTTCATATAGTGTATTTTCAGTAAATACTCAAAACTGAAAAAAATATTGGTTTTGATTTAGACAACCAGCTCTGTCACCAGCAAAGTGACTACAGCCAAGGACACGGTCTCCTCCATGCTTTATGGTTAGAACCACACAGATGGATCTCCCACTCTTTCTGTGTCTCACAAATATATAGCTGTTGGGCTGAAATATTTAATAATTTGGTTTGCTTACCCATAAGACAAGTCTCCATTCCTCAGGCATCCAATTTCTTTGCTTTTCAACCCAAGTGAGTCACTCCCTCCTCTGTACTCTTTGTACCAATTCTTCCAGTTATACCTGCTTCATACCTCCTGTCAACAATTGATGCTAAATCTGTACTTCTAGTAGCATTTAGCTGAACTTGATTGTCAGATGCAGTTAATCACCAGTTTCCCAGACTGTTTCTTCTTTGATCTGCCTGACCTTGTTCATTCCTCATGAGTGAGAGTTTCTTCAGATGATAACAGTCTTAGCGGCATCAGCTACAGACACTTGCAAAGTACTTGTGGTTCCTCTTGAAGATGGAGCTGTATTTCTATAATTAGACCATCTGTGTTTTTTTTTTCTTTGCTGAACGGGACATATTTTTATTTGCTGCCCACACATTCAGGAACCATAGACAATCTGCAGGGTTGCCAACTTTGGTCAGCTAACGAGCAAATTTTCAATTCAAAAGAAGTCTGCATACACGTGCACCTTGTCTTCAGGGTTTGCAAACTACCCCAACGCTTTTGCTTTAGCTAGTTTTAGGTTTATAATGGAATAAAATAGATGTGCTGTAAGATTTCTTGCGTGAACATGAGTCTGAAAGCGTGAGCGTCACGCCAGATCCATGAGAGTTGGCAGCACTGCTTTCTGAAAACTATGGTACCAATACACCAGCCATTAAATGTTAACAATAATCATTTCCAAAAATAATAAAGTTACTGTAAAAATATTTTTGATTCTGAGAATATCTAAGATGGACACATAGGAAATGCTTGGGCTGATATCCTACTTTGGGTGCTATTTCACTGACATTTGCAGGGTTTCCTTTTTTATTGTGAATACAATTCACTTATGACTGCCTTCTTTTTTAAGAACACACAGATGTATATTATACTTTTATTATATATATGTATATATATAAACATAATTATATGTTATAATTATAATTATAGAATAGATAATTGAAACATGATTTCAAGTAGGCCTAATCAAATTTTGACTAGCATTGCATATGACTTGAATCACTCTATTACCTAGAACAGGGGTGGCCAATCTTATCTGCAGAGGGTCGGTGTGTATGTGGGTTTTCACTGCAACTCCCTAATTAGATTACTAATTAGAGGACAGATTGGCTGAAAAGTCCTCACACCTGGGTTTGAACAGCTGACCTACAGGTTATCCCAAAAACCTGCATACACACTGGCCCTTTGTGGATAAGATTGCCCACCCCTGACCTAGAACATAATAAATTTACAATGAAAGGAGGCCATTCAGCCCATCAAGCTCATTTGGGAAGAACTCAACTAATTGCTCAGAGTTGTTAAAATCTTATCTAGCTCTGGTTTAAAAAAACCCAGGGTTTAGCTTGCACTGTACTAACAGGAAGACTATTCCATACTCTAACTACTTGCTGTGTAGAGAAGTGTTTTCTACGTATACATAATATGTATAGTACTCCAAATAAATTCAATCAAAACATACATTAAAGTACAAGGATGTTTTTTTGTTTTTCCAGCAAGAAGAATGATAGTTCAATGACAATTCACAAACTGTGTCATCGTATGGGAGGTTATTTTTTTAGGTTAGTGTTTCCTGTCGGCAATCTAAGGACTTAGCACTATGTCTTGCGCATAAAAAGGAACATTACTTCCGGTGCATGTTTCCGGTCTCAGCTAACTCACAATAATAATGGAATTTCACCAAAATAAGAGTAAGGACGAGCCTTAGCGAAACCATAAGATGTTTTCAGAAGAAAATAAAGGAACACTTTACAAAGGTTCATGTACAATATCAAGCAGCTTAATCAACTGTGCTAAAATAAATATGAGAAGTTTAGTAATCCTTTTTTAAATGTTAGTTATCTGTCAGGACAACCGTTCTTGTCAGTTTATATATTACGACAATTCATAATATACCTTATTGAAATGTTTTATAATGTATAATTAAATTAATACGTTATTAATAAATGTGACGATTTACACAAAAAAAGTAACACATTTATAGTGGGTTACCAACAACTACATCGCTAGAGTTTTACGGTACTTATATTTTTATATGGAAGTCAGACTTGTAGTGTCTCCAGCATATCAAAGGCAAATGCAAATCTATGTCTATCACATCATATTAACACACCAAAAAGAAAAAGTAGCTTCTACAGTGAAGCATACAATGCGAAGCCGTATTTAACGTCTTTTATTTTGAAAGCCGGGGGAAAACCGGAAAGGATTGTTACTACCGCTAGCAACGATCGACAAACGTGGAGCTACAATGTGCGCTTGGAACGGAGGGAATTCCGGGCTCGTTTAAACCGAGTGCCAGCACATTTGTTTTAACTAATACATGTGCAGCCTTTCCATCATCTAACATAGCTATGGAGCTCGATACCGATGTCCTGCCGACCCCGAAAGGAGGGTTCCACTGCAAATTGTGTGATATCAACGTACCAAATAGTAAGTTTTGTTATTTATAACAACTAATAACACGTGTCGCAGATCACAGTTGTAATAACATTATGTATTTGTTAGGTATAGAATAAGAAGCATTTTTATAAATGTCGCTTTGGGTATTTTTCAACATTGATGTTGCTTTTCTATTTATTTATCAGATTTAACTAGTCGAATGTCCAGCCTAACGGTTTTCTCAATCTGTGAATGAAAGTTACGCATTCGCGCTGGCTCGCGTTTGATAAGGTGGATAAAACAAGAACCTGTATTTTTAAAGCTTTGACTGTTTGTGTGTGGATGACCAGCACTGGTGTGATGCGCGTGTCTCCGATGTGTGGCTAGAAGCCAGCTTGGAGGACCACCTGAAGGGGCGAAAACATGGGAAGCTGCGCAGCGTGCGGGACACCCGGCAGAGGCAGGAGTCCAGCAGCATCTTCGTCAGCGGCTTCCGGCGTGGCACGTCCCAGCAACAGATCACCGATTACTTTGAGCAGTTCGGACCTGTGTCGGAGGTCATCATGGACAAGGACAAGGTCTGTTCTTCGGGGCTCTTCATTGGATTCAGATCAAGTGTCATCAGTACCAGATTCCCGGACTTGAGATAAGACTTCTGAGTCTCGTTGAATAACCTTACAGCTCATTGAATTGTTATACTGGCCGGTGAATGTCAGGGATTATTCATGCTGGTGTACTGAGTAGCTGTGATTTGTTCCCCCTTTTCACAGGGAGTGTATGCCATCCTGGAGTTCGTTGAGGTGGACAGTCTGTTAGCAGTGCTGTCTCACACGCAGCACACCCTGGGCAGCCAGAAGCTGCGTGTGAAGCCCAGGGAGAAGAAGGAGTTCAAGTACATACCGAAAAAGAAGCAGGACGGGAAGAATCCCCGGCTGAGCCTAGAGCAGCTTTCGCAGGACCTCTGTCAGGCAGCATCAGTGAGTGTCCCCTTCTCTTCCATGCAGGCTGTCCCATGCTCACCCCCCATATCATCCAGCTTCTTCTGTCATCAGTTAACTGTGTAGTCAGAATATGAAGAAACCCCTTCTAACCCCCTACCAAAATACACCTGAGTACTCATTAGCAATAGCAGTTGTACATGAATATAGGGCTGTCACTATCATGAAGTTAAACTTGATGATTAATTGTCATACATATAATTGCGATTAACGGTTTAATTGTCTTTTTCTGTTCATTTTTAACACTATCAGCCTGGAGTTGCCCTAATTAATTTAATACTACATATGTACCTTATGAAGAACTGAATATTGAATATTGGAACATATAACTAAAAATCTAATTTGCCTTTTAAGCTTTGTAAACAAA